GCAAAGTGTTTAACAGAAGTGAATATAATAAAGAATATTTCCAAAAAAATAAAGAAAGGTTGCGTGAAAATAAGCGAAATTACAGAGAACAAAATAAAGAAATGATACGTGATTATAGGCAAAATTACACAAAACAAAATAAAGAAAGCATACATAATAAAAATAAAATTTATTACCAGAATAATAAAGAAAATCGGATTGAATATCAGCGAAAATACCGACAAAAAAAGAAAAACGTTCAATCTGTTAATAATGAAGGAACTTCAGTTGTTAATCCACAGACTGGTGATTTTTCTAATTTAGTTAATTTGTCAATTGTTTGCGAGGAACAAGGAAATCTTTTAGATCAAGGAGAGAAAGAATGCTATAATGGCGAAGATGAGCAAAATCAAATCGAGGTAGAAGAGCCAAATAAAATTATCGAAGATGACACAAATCACATTGATTTAAATAAGAAGCTATATCCTTTTGATCTTAATGAGAAACCTGGTGATGAAGGACTTGAAGACGTTTGAAAGGATTGATTTGTCCAGCTTATACGTGACAAAAAGTTAAATATTGGATGTTATTTGAGTTTTATTCGTATCGATATATTTTCGAGATCGGAATCTATGTACTTTTTCTATCAATTTATTTTACAATCTTTTTTTCTCATAAAAACTATATAAATATATTACATTCACTTCTTATTCTATACTCTTCAATATTATTATTTTGTATTGATAAATAAATCTTTAATGATTAATTCAAATTTATTTTTTTATATGTATCTGGTGTAACAGAAAACCTCTCAGCCCCATTTTTAGCCCATGTCTAGGAAGTCTGATTATACCAATTTGTAACATTCTGATACTTATATGGCCTTTATATGACACTAATACTTAACATCGGAAATAAATAAAACCTTAACCCTGAATATATTTTGACTTTTCACTCCTAATTTTACTCGTTTTCTCATAATATTTCATTCAAATACTTCCTTTGATTAATTATTAAATAATTTTCTGTTTTTTAAACTCGCACTTTCCTTTCAATGAATTTTACTTTTATTTTTTTTGTTTAAAAATAAGAAAATACCCAGTTGTTTACATTTAAATTTTGTAATTTGTCTTTGTCTGACTTTTAAATTCCCGAGCATTTTTGCCCTTTTTATTTACATCTATTAGGTAATATTAAATTATATTACATTACATAATTTAACCTCTCGTTTATTATTTAACCTCTCATAATTTAACCTCTCTAATATTTTGAGAAAAAGGCTTAAATCCTTCCCAAATGTTATATCCCCCCAGTTTTTAAATTAAATATTTTTATTTTTCGCCAATTTTAAATATAAAATATTAAATTTGTTTTAGGATGAAACTTTCTAGTTTTTTAAACGTTTCAATCTTCTATACGATATTATTGGCAACTGTTAAAACTACTCCAACTCGAAAAGATTTAGGTTGACATGCCGAAAAGGATTACTCGGCAACTAAATCAATAAATGATGAGGCTGAATCGTCGGTCAATCCACAAATTCAAAAACATAATGAAACTTTAATACAAAAATTAAAATATACAGATGAAACAGATAAAGGAGATAAAAAGTTTAATAAAAGTGAATATAATAAAGAATATTACCGAAAACATAAAGAAAAGTTGCGTGACTATAAGCGAACTTACCGAAAACAAAATAGAGAAAAAATGAATGAGAATCAGCTTAATTACTATAAAAGGAATAAAGAAAAAAGTAGACAATATTTGAAAATTTACTACCAAAAAAATAAGGAAAAGCTACTGAAAATTAACAAAATATATAAACAAAATAATAAAGAAAATTGGAATGAATACAAACGAAAATACAGATTAAAAAAGAAAAACATTCAATCTGATAATAATGAAGGAACTTCATTTGTTAATCCACAGACTGGTGATTTTATTAATAAAGGTAAATTACCAATTGTTTGCGAGGAGGAAGGAAATTTTTCAAATCAAAAAGAGGAAGAATGCTATAATGGGGAAGATGAGCAAAATAAAATCGAGTTAGAAGAGCCAAATAAAACTCTTGAAGATGACACAATAGATTTAAATAAGAAAATTCTGCCTTTTGATCTGAACGAGAAACCCTATGATCAAGAATTGCAAGATTATTAAGGAGAGATGTTCTCTATCAGTTTGTGCCCCCTGAATTTTATATTGGACGTTTTGTTTTTAAAAAAGGATTTGCATTCCTTTATATTTTTTCTTTGTATTTTAAATTTAAAGTCAATTTTCTGTTTTTTATATTTAAAGTTTAAAATTTTAATTTATAAATAAATGTTTTTATCCGTTTAATTTTTTTTCTCTAAATAATTGTTGAGATAGTATTTCTCAACAAGTGGTGCCGCTACGTTTGACGAGCCTATTTGAATCTTAGTTTCCTAAATGTTAAAATTGTTTGTTAAAAGAATTAAATTTTTATTTGAAAAAGTTTTAGAGAAACTATTTTTAAAGAAATCTATAACCTAAAAGATTAAGTCACATTTAAAGGTTTAAAGTATGAAGTTTAAAGTTAAAAATCTATTTGAAGTTAAATTTAGAAGTTTAAAGTTAAGAATTGAAAATGTCCGGTCCATACAAAAAATGATCGGAACTGTTTTACAACGTTTAAGCGTACTATCCACATTTCTTCCAATGACACTTATATTTATTTATTTTTAGAAAAACTAAATAAAAATAAATATTCCGGTATAAGTCGAAACTTTATTGTGACTAATGATAAGATAATTTTAAAAATATAAGCCCAGTCTCTTGTAGATGCCCACCTTCTAATATGTCCATCTGTTTTCAATTCTACTTTAGATTAACTTCTTTTCTTTTCAACAAAATTCGGACAACCCTCAGACATAACAACATTTTGCTAAGATTACGATAAACTTTATCTACTATATTAAAAGGACAAAAGAATATATTATTTTCAAATATATTTTCATTCCAGGAGATCTTCTCTCATAATATTTCATTCAAATTTTTTCTTTGATTAATTATTACCGTATTTCCTAAAATAGTACGGCCTGCTAAATTAGTACGGCCCCTGAAATAGTACGGCCCTTTGGAAGAGGGTTGAAAAATAGTACGGCCCCCTAAATTAGTACGGCCCCCTGAAATAGTACGGCCCCCATTTAAAAACATAAAAAATAGACAAAATTTGTTTTTTAATCATAGTAATTATTCCTCGCAATATTTAACTAATTTATTGAATCTTAATATCTATTGGTATAGAAATTGGAGTGCTTAAGAGGATATAGGTGGATTAATGGAGACTATGTTGGATTTGGAAGGATATTGTAGATTTGGAGTAATTTAAGTATGGATGAATTTAAAAGGATTAGTTGGAATCAAAGTGAATAACGAAAGCTTTTAGTACTAGGAAGTTGGATTGACAACCTTCTATCTAAAAATTAAGGGCAACTCAAAACATGCTAGTATCTCCTAAATCAGTATCGGGATTTGAGTTAATGATACCAATACCGGCTCGGGATTGGGATTTAAAAATCGGTATCGTTGTTTTCTGAAAAATTTTAATATGAGCAGGAATTAAATAAATTTATTTTGCAATCCAAAGATCTTAATTATAATAAACCGCTTAACCCTAAATGATTTAACGCTTGCCTCTCCACAAAACACGAAGTAGACAGATGCACAGATGTCATTATAGACGGGGTCTTAAATAATTTTTAAGGTCTGCTAATTTCATGTTTGGAAACGCTAATGATTTGGGATAATTTGCGAGCATACTATTGTGGATATGAGCAGGAATTAAATATGAATGGATATGAATGGAGTGCTCGGATGGAGTGCCTTAGACCGCCTCGGAATGGGGTCAATTTTCCTTAGAATTTGATGTTTGTCATAAGGCAAAACTTGTAAAAATATTTTTTTTTCTCGGCTTATTTTGTTGGTTGAGTAGAAAAATCGGTCTTACAAAACTCGGTCGAGACAATTTGTCTGTTGTTGTTTTTCTGTCCCGTTAGTTAGCCTGACGCGAAAATAAAAAATTAAAAATAACAGCACTCGTCCCAAAAGACCCCAAACAAATTGGATCGAGTTTTGTTAAGACCGAGTTTTGCCACTCACACAACAAAATAATCAGAGGAAAAATTATTTTTTACACAGTATTTTTTACACCCCCTAAATTAGTACGGCCCCCTGAAATAGTACGGCCCTTTGGAAGAGGGTTGAAAAATAGTACGGCCGGCCGTACTATTTTAGGAAATACGGTAAGTTATTTTTTAAACTCGAATAAAATAATATTTCTTAAAATAATATTTTCTAGCTAATAATATTATCTAGAATATGCACTTTTAATTTTCGCGGAAGACCATTTTCTTTCAAAACTACGCACGAATTTTACTTTTGTTTTTATATTTTTAAATATGAGAAAATACCTTATTGTTTATTCTGATTTTGTAATTTGTTCTGTCTGTATTTAAACTCTCTAGCTTATTTGCCCTTTTTGTTTACATCTACATATTAGATAATATTAAATTTTATTACAAAACATAATTTTGGATTTACCCTTCTTGGCTTATACCTTTCTTAAATGTTATATCCACCAGTTATTTTAAATTATAATTTAACTATAATTTATTAAATTTGGGCTCTTGTCCAGTTCATGCATCCCATGAAGATTTATGCGTCCCAAGATAAAATTTTTGTGGAACGCATAAATTATTTTTGGGACGCATAAATTTTTATGGGACTCATAAATTCTCATGGGACGCATAAATCTTCATGGGACGCATGAACTGGACAAGAGCCTAAATTTGTTTAGAATGAAACTTGAAAGTTTTTTAATCGTTTTAATCTTCAATTGGATATTGTTGATATCCGTTAAAACTGTTCCAACTCGAAAAGGTTTGACTAGACATGCTGAAAAGTATCACACGGCAAAGGATCTCACAAAAACATTAAATGTTGAGGCTGAATCCTCTGTCAATCCTCAAATTCAAAAACATAAAGAAAAATTAAAATCAAAATTAAAAAATACAAAGGAAACAGATAAAGGAGACATGGTGAATGACAGGAGTGAATATTTTAAAGAATATAGACAGAAAAATAAAGAAAGGATACGTGAATATAAGCGTAATTACAAGATACAAAATAAAGAAAGAATACGTACGTACTAAAAATAAAATTTTATACCAAAATAATAGAGAAGCTAAATGAATACAAGAGAAAATACCGACAAGAAAAGAAAAACGTTCAATCTGATAATAATGAAGGAACTTCATTTGTTAATCCACAGACTGATGATTTTATTAATAAAGGTAAATTAACAATTGTTTGCGAGGAGGAAGGAAATCTTTTTAATAAACGAGAGGATGAATACAATGAAGGGGAAGATGAACAAAATCAAATCGAGGTTGAAGAGCCAAATAAAACTCTTGAAGAAGACACAATAGATTTAAATAAGAAAATTCTGCCTTTTGATCTGAACAAAAAACCCGATGATCAAGAATTGCAAGATTATTAAGATTATTTTTCTCTATGGGTTTGGCCCCCTATATTATATATTGGGGTTTTTGCTTTTCAAAGATGGATTTGGATTTCTTAACACTCTTGCATAATAATATTTTGCTAAAATTAGTTATTTACATACTTCAATATATATAAAAATGATCGGAAAGCATAAATATGATTAATTTATTTAATTAAAAATTTATTACTCATCAAATTGTAAAAATGGAATAAACAGAATTTATTCAATTTAAAATTTATTTTCGTTGAATTTTATAAAAAGTAAAAATTTTTATTAAATAAATGCTAAACAATTTTATTATTCTTTTATTTTTCTATATTATTCAGCCTTGTGTTTGCTTCAATTTGAGTCGATTTGAGAGTATTTAAAAAAATTTTTTCATTTCTAAAAAATATTTAAAGCCTTAGAGACTCGACACCGCAAAGGTATCGAATGTTGGCGTCCAGGAGACGATTCACATTTTCATTATTTCGGCTATAGAAATCATTCGTATGATAAAAAACCTTGTTTAAAATGGATAGATGTTACTAAACAATTGTTGGAGATTTACAAGGATTATAATACATTGTAAGATAATTATAATATAATAGAATCTCGTTGTGGGGCTTAGCCCATATAACGGTCTCCTAAAATTAAATATAAAAATGTTCACAGTATTTTTCACATGCACTTTGAGTTCCTTATTTGGAAATTCGACATTCTAAATTATTTTAGAAAATAAATAAGATATCAAGAGAGTGAGGCAAAAGTTTGGCCATGGTCATGCATTGATTCTATGACCTCCTGCAAGCTATTGCTAGGCATTCTAGTAGCTTAATCTACTGAATAAACATTGGGGCGATGTTTGTACCTTATAAATTAATGGATCTTACAACCCCTCCCAATAAGCGTTTTAAAATCCACTCAGCTGGACCTTGCTTATTCCTCAAAAATTAATAATAATTTAATTAAAAAGTTTCTATCCAAATGAATATATGAGCCATAATTATTGCCGTTCAACAAGTCTGAACCTCTACGAGTATAACAAACAGATAAGCAATGCAACATTTCACATATTTTTTAATGCTACAGAATGGAAATTTGGCCCTTGGTGTTATGTGAATAAAGAAGTAATTTTGCCATTTTTAATTTGCGTATTTTCGGTGACGGAAATTTATAATTAAAGGAAGTGAAATACAAGTTTTATGTAATAATTTAAGTTTATTAGACTTATAAATGGGGGCGGTCTTGGAAAATCTTCGGATATCAGGAACCGAACCGAAAATTTATAGTGATGTCATCCCAGCGAATTAGCAAAGATGCCTCGCTCAAATTTCCTTCATTTTCCGCGAATTAGGCAAAAATTTTTAAAAATTTTAGAAGAACTAAATGCCAAAAAAATCCTTCGATTTTTGACTAACAAAATAGAAGAACCAAACCGAAATGATATCCGAACCGAACATAACGATAAGGAATACAGTATGGTCAAAATTCCTATTACTAATTTTAGTTTATTTCTTTTCTAAGACTAAAAATGCTTAAATTTCATTAACTTTTAATCCAAAACTTTAGGACGACGGTGGGACTAACGAAGAAAGAATTAGGCAACGTAATTTAAATGAAATGCTTTGTCCTGATTATTATTTGATAAATAAGAGTGGACAATTGGAATGTTTTGATAAGGATAAAAAGAATTGTACTCTCGCAAAGATATACCCAGATGTTGTCGTAGATTACGAACCTAGGCGTTGTTTTGATAAGTGTGATGAAATTGTTACTACTACAAGAACACTTACTAATAGTACAGGAACCACAATTAAGGCTACTAATTTGCCAAAATTAAAAAATTCTAATGGAACAATTTAAAATTATTTAAATTTTTTAAATAAAATTTTACTTCCTTGAGTAATTTTCTCATATGAGGAAGGATAAATATTTTCATAATTTTGCACTTTTTAATAATTTTTTTATTTATTTATTTATTTATTTATCAGCAAACCACAGGTATTTCAAAATACATTAAAGTGGTGCATAAAAAAATACAAAGCAAAAAATATTTGAAGCAACAACAACAAAAAAAACATGAAAAAAATATATATAAATAGTAAACAAAAACTCGTAAAACCACACACGCCAGGGTTTAATGTCCTTACAAGGAACCATATCGAACTGTCAGGAAACTCATAAAAATTATACCATCGTGTAGAGCATTGAAAAAAACTTCATACGTATTTTTTCTTTTTTGGCCCTAACCCCCATTTCGAAAAGTTATAGGGCTTCAAAGTTTTCAAATTTTGGAGCGGTTGAGTCGCCCCCATAAAGAAAATTTTTCTTTTATTAAGGAGAAAAATAAGACTCCCATCTTCCTTTTCTCCTTTCCTTTTCTTTTCTCATGTTTGTTAAAGAAGGAGAAAAGGAGGAGAGAGAAAAGAAAAGGAAAAGGCTACTCTGTCGTCTCCTCTTTCGTTTTTAATCCGCAATGGAAGAAAGGCAGAGTAGCCTTTTCCTTTTTTTCTCTTTCCTCCTTTTCTCTTTCTTTAACAAACATGTGAAAAGAAAAGGAAAGGAAAAATTGAGAAGAGGAGTCTCATTTCTCTCCTTGGGAAGCAAATAATAAGAAAAGTGAGGGCGACTCAACCGCTCCAAAATTCGAAAACTTTGAAGCCCTATAACTTTTCGAAATGTGGGTTAGGGCCAAAAAAGAAAAAATACGTATGAAGTTTTTTTCAATGCTCTACACGATGGTATAATTTTTATGAGAAAATTTTTCCTGACAGTTCGATATGGTTCCTTGTTAGTATTTTATAGAATACTGTTTAATGAGACTTCTAAATTTTTTCGGATCATTTATTTTGAATGGCTCATTTGGAAGATTATTCCAGTTATTCACCACTCTGTGAAAAAAATTATGTTTTGTTTTAAAAAAATAATTTTTCATATTTTTTCATAAAATATAGACTATTATATTGCTTAATGTGGGAATAATAAGGATTTTTAGTTGCTTAATAAATTAACACAATCCGGCAAAAATTAGAGACTAATTAAATGCTTGTAGGCTTAAAAATTTACATTTGCCGCTTTTATAAAGGCAATAAAAAATACTTAAAATAAAAATAAAATATTCTTTTATTTTTTGCTGTCCTAAATCTGTCCTAAATCAAGATTAATTGTAAATTTTACTATTTCTATTATCGTTTATTTCATTGCTTTATACTCACATTTATTCGACAATACTTTGTGCCTAAATGGCAGTTAAAATATTTCATATTACATAATATTATCGTTAAAATTTAAATATTCTGGGGATGACTTCTCTCAATTAATTAATTATTTTCACAGCTGAAGCAGGGTATTTACAACATACATCGCTCGTTCCAGCTTCTCCTGTTTTGTAACTATATTTCCAAGGATCTGCAGCATTTGCCCCCAGGTACTCATCACAAACAAATTTAATTTGTGTTGCAGGGTTGTTGTTTCCATAAATTGATATATTTCGAACTGTACATTTGTCGTTGTATTGACGGTTTCCACCTTTTTTAAAAATTAAGTTATTTGCAAGTTAATGTAAATTTGTGGGGTTGCTGGAATATCTTTGAATATCCGGATCCGAACAGAGGAAGATAGGAAAAAATTATTTGTTCCTCTTCTGTTTCAGAATAAAAAAGCTTCAATTATTAGTGTTGTGTCCGTACTTGCAGAAAGAATATAAATGAAAATAAATAACACATCATCGGGTTGGATAATGGCACAATCGGTTGTGCTTCGGTCAGGGCTCCTTCCGTGATGGTTCAATACCATCTCCCTTCCAATGAAGTTTTCTACAGCATGCATAACAACGTATATAATAATTAGATAATTTGTTCAAAAAATCTTGATTAATGCATGATTCAATGGTTAAATTGCCTTTATGTCCTAATTTAGGGTTGTTAAAATTTACCAATTATATTGAGCATTGGTCCCATGAATTTTGAATTTTCTACGGTAACCTCTCGCGTATATTGTTTTGAACAGACTCCAGCAGAAATTACACCTATTTCGTTATTGTAAGAACAGAAATTTCTAACAATTGTTTTTCCTGGCCCTCCTGTAGCAAAAATTTTCTGAAAACCGTCTAAAGCACCGCCACCATCTACTATCTAAAAAATCAAGACTCAAAGTTTTTCATTTAAATTATACAGCTTACATAAGTAAATTTTCTTGTATCTCCAGGCTTGGCGTCTGATGCACCTATAAAGGTACCAGCACGCCAGCAAACATTTTCAAAGCTAAAATGTTTAAAATAGAGTTTTCAAAAATAAATTCTAATAAATAGTAAGTATATCGAATCAAATGGAAAAAAAGAACTCGTACTGTGTACGAAGTACGAGTACAAGGAAAAGTAAGCCTGTACGAAATTACGATTACGGGGAATTTCGAAATTCCAACCACTGCCCTTCGGCAACTTTTTAAAATCTTTTTAGAATTTTTTATTTTTACTCCTCAGTAAAAGTTCGGCGGTTCCGGGTATCCAGTACTGAAAAAGCGCGAATATTCAAAAATTTCGGTTCTGATACCGTTCCGAATATTACTAGTAAAATCATAATTTATAACTACCCTTTTGTTATCCTCTTAATTTAAATTTTTATTTATTTTATAAACTTACAAGATTTTTTTAAGTGTACAACTACCCTTACAAATAATATCAGCAGAAGTGCCGATTGTTGATTCTCCCATAATAAGATTACTTATAGTAACTCCGTTTTCAACAATTATTGCATGGTCCCAATCGTTGTTCCATCCAGGAATATTTGGACGGCAAGTATTTGGCTTGCCATTAAAAATAATTCGTTGCATTCCAAAATCAGTGTCTTTTGTAATACGTAAAGTCGTCTTTGTTACATTTGTACTTGTAGGCGTGGGGAAATTACAAAATTTAGCCCCTTGTTGATTTAATGCTAGGGCCAATAAAGGCATAGATGAAATAATTGAAAAAAATATATTAAGCATTTTTTTTTGATTTTTGAATTTATTTTTAATTTGTGTAACCATCTAGCTTTCTTTCAGTATATATAGGCATAATTGCAGTCAGAATTTAAAAGATTTCCACGTATAAACTAAATCCACGTGTAAAATTAAAAATTAATTTCAGTCAATTTAGTTAATTTATTCACTTCCGGAAAGTCATATGAAAATTGTCCCAAAATAATTTATCAAATTTTATAAACGTGGATTACTTAGTGGCTCATTTAGGTGGTTCTAAGCTCTTTTTTGTAATACACAAAACCTTAAAAATTTTTAAAATCATTTCTTTCTAATTTTTAAGGCTTGAAAAAAGATAAAAAAATGTGTTACACAAATTTAACTTTTACATAAATTTTTATTTGGTTTATTTTTTACATAAATTTTTATTTGGTTTATTTTAGTGTTCATAAAATTTAATACAAAATATCATAAATACAGCATATCAGAACTTCGATCTCGAATTTTTAAAAATCCGCATTTATATATCAAAAATCCGCAAAAAACTTTTTTGCACCCCAGTCAATCATCAAAAACAAAAATTGAAATAAAATCACTTTATTTTTATTTTTTATGAAAAATATAAAAAATCCTCATAATTTTGAAAAGAACACAAAATTTCGCAAATCCGTATTTTTAAAAATAATCCTCATTGACCTATCAAAAAAACACAAAATGAAGAAAGATCCGCAGAAATCAAAGCCCTTCAATATATTGATGCAATATAATGTAAAAAATTTTAGTTAAAAGCAGACCTGCTCACGAATACGGATAATATCCGGATACCCGCGGATATCCGCGGATACGGATGGATATGGATAGTGTTTTTTAAAAAATTGGACGGATACGGATGGATACGGATATGATGCTTCAAATCCGCGGATATCCATCTCAAAATTCTAGCATGCGGTGCAAAGAAAGTGAATTTTTTTTCGCTTGCGGCCTTTCAAAAATTTTTAAATTTTCGCCTGCGGCGCTAAAAAAGGAAGAATCTGGCTTTTAAATCATTGAATTTCTCAAATTTTCGCCTCAGGCGAGAACTCTGATTCAACCTTAAAAATTTTTATCTACGACGCTCCAGTGTGCCTACCCACCTAAGGTACGAAGTACAAGTTCAGGCCAAATTTAGTGGTGAGTACGAGCAAAATTAGCTTGTACGCTTTTATCTGAGCAAACGAAAAATTTCAGAGGGGTATGGGTGAATTCCCCACCTACTTCCGAATTGGGAAAAAGGAAAAAATTGGTGAGGGGATTGGGCAAAAAAAAGTGAATTTTTTTACCTATGGTCTTCTAAAATTCCCAAAATTTTTGCCTGCGGCGCTTAAAAGGAAGATTGCAGCTTCTTAGCAAAATGGAAGATTTTTTGCTTCTTTGTTTTCTAAAATTCTCAAAATTTTCGCCTGCCGCGCTAAAATCAACTGGTCAGTTAACCGAAATTTTCATTTCGGCTCGAAACCGGGAACTTTACAAAAAGTCTCAAAAATTTTCAAATTCTATTTTTTGTCGGTATGATCACTGATAAGCAGCGTTGGGTCGGAATTCTTATCTCTGCCTTCCGATTTCGAACCTCTGATGTTCATAAGCCGTTATTACCTCGTTATCTAACCATTACTCGAATTTGTTATAAATTTGACCATTTTGAAAATTGTAGTCAAGCTGACCATTTTGAGAAAAAACGGATATATCCGCGGATATCCGCGGATGGATATGCCTAAAAAGTTGGACGGATACAAACGGATACGGATATTGACCTCATGGATATATCCGGATACGGATAGCAAAATCCGTGTCCATGAGCAGGTCTGGTTAAAAGTTTGTTGATTAATTATTCATACTTCTAGTTCGACTCATTTAAAGAGCACTTGAAGTTTATAATTATCCTGTTAAGTCTTTTTTATAAAAATTGATAACAAGTTTATAATAAAAAAATAACTTAACGGTACATCTTTATTGCGCTTTTATTATTGTAAAGTTGGAAGTTGTTGGAGCAGAGTGCTGCCAGACACTCACCATCTAATAATATCGTTGCCGAAAGGGATAAACATAATTAAAATAAAAACTAGACTGTCAATAATATTAATTTCATATTTAAATTACATTACACTTTCAATAATAAAAATACAAGTGATTAAGAATAAGCGGGATTAATTATAAAATATAAACAGTCGGGTGAGGAGCAGAATTTCGAATGACAAAACTTAGTCCAGACAAAATTCCGAAAATCCGAGGCTCTATCTTAAAACATGCGCCCCTCGAAATTTTATGCGTTTCATGAAAGTATTTGCATCCCAAAAATAGTATATACGTCCCATCAGTATATACGTCCCATCTCTTGCAAAGATATACCCAGACGTTGTCGTAGATTATGAGCCTAGGCGTTGTTTTGATGTGTGACGAAATTGTTACTACTACAAGAACAACTACTAATAGTACAGGAACCACAATTAAGGCTACTACTAAACTGCCAAAATTAAAAAATATTAACGGAACAATTTAAAATTATTTAAATTTTTTAAATAAAATTTTATTTCCTTGTGTAATTTCTTCATTTAAGGAAGGATAAATATTTTCGTAATATTGCACTTATTAATAATTTTTTATTTATTTATTTATTTATCAGCAAACCACAGGTATTTTAAAATACATTAAAGTGGTGCATAAAAAATACAAAGCAAAAAATATTTGAAGCAACAACAAAAAAAACATGAAAAAAACAACAACAAAAAAAATATGAAAAAAATATATATAAATAGTAAACAAAAACTCGTAAAACCACACACGCTAGGGTTTAATGTCCTTAGTATTTTATAGAATACTGTTTAATGAGACTTCTAAATTTTTTCGGATCATTTATTTTGAATGGCTCATTTGGAAGATTATTCCAGTTATTCACCACTCTGTGAAAAAAATTATTTTTTGTTTTAAAAAAAATAATTTTTCATATTTTTTCATAAAATATAGACATTTATTATATTGCTGAATGTGGGAATAATAAGGATTTTTAGTTGCTTAATAAATTAACACAATCCGGCAAAAATTAGAGACTAATTAAATGATTGTAGGCTTAAAAATTTAAATTTGCCGCTTTTATAAAGGCAATAAAAAATACTTAAAATAAAAATAAAATATTCTTTTATTTTTTGCTGTCCTAAATCTGTCCTAAATCAAGATTAATTGTAAATTATACTATTTCATCATCGTTTATTTTATTGCTTTATACTCACATTTATTTGACAATATTTTGTGCCTAAATGGCAGATAAACTATTTCATATTACATAATATTATCGTTAAAATTTAAATATTCTGGGGATGACATCTCTCCATCAATTAATTATTTTCACAGCTGAAGCAGGGTATTTACAACATACATCGCTCGTTCCAGCTTCTCCTGTTTTGTAACTATATTTCCAAGGATCTGCAGCATTTGCCCCCAGGTACTCATCACAAACAAATTTAATTTGTGTTGCAGGGTTGTTGTTTCCATAAATTGATATATTTCGAACTGTACATTTGTCGTTGTATTGACGGTTTCCACCTTTTTTAAAAATTAAGTTATTTGCAAGTTAATGTAAATTTGTGGGGTTGCTGGAATATCTTTGAATATCCGGATCCGAACAGAGGAAGATAGGAAAAAATTATTTGTTCCTCTTCTGTTTCAGAATAAAAAAGCTTCAATTATTAGTGTTGTGTCCGTACTTGCAGAAAGAATATAAATGAAAATAAATAACACATCATCGGGTTGGATAATGGCACAATCGGTTGTGCTTCGGTCAGGGCTCCTTCCGTGATGGTTCAATACCATCTCCCTTCCAATGAAGTTTTCTACAGCATGCATAACAACGTATATAATAATTAGATAATTTGTTCAAAAAATCTTGATTAATGCATGATTCAATGGTTAAATTGCCTTTATGTCCTAATTTAGGGTTGTTAAAATTTACCAATTATATTGAGCATTGGTCCCATGAATTTTGAATTTTCTACGGTAACCTCTCGCGTATATTGTTTTGAACAGACTCCAGCAGAAATTACACCTATTTCGTTATTGTAAGAACAGAAATTTCTAACAATTGTTTTTCCTGGCCCTCCTGTAGCAAAAATTTTCTGAAAACCGTCTAAAGCACCGCCACCATCTACTATCTAAAAAATCAAGACTCAAAGTTTTTCATTTAAATTATACAGCTTACATAAGTAAATTTTCTTGTATCTCCAGGCTTGGCGTCTGATGCACCTATAAAGGTACCAGCACGCCAGCAAACATTTTCAAAGCTAAAATGTTTAAAATAGAGTTTTCAAAAATAAATTCTAATAAATAGTAAGTATATCGAATCAAATGGAAAAAAAGAACTCGTACTGTGTACGAAGTACGAGTACAAGGAAAAGTAAGCCTGTACGAAATTACGATTACGGGGAATTTCGAAATTCCAACCACTGCCCTCGGCAACTTTTTAAAATATTTTTAGGATTTTTTATTTTTACTCTCCGCAGCTAAAAGTTTGGCGGTTCCGGGTATCCAGTACCGAAAAAACCGAATATTCAAAAATTTCAGTTCGGATTCCGGTTCCGAATATTCCCGATTGACCAGGAACCGCCAACATTTGTCTAGACAGAAAGCAACCCTAACAGTCGGTAGTCCAATCTCGCATTCAAAATCAGCCCCCAACTTAAACACATATACAATTCTTCAAAGCATAAAGACTGAATCCACTTCGTTTCAGTCCAGAATCTAGTAAAATCAGATCTTATAAATACCCTTTTTGTTATGCTCTTAATTTAAATTTTATAAACTTACAAGACATTTTTAAGTGTACAACTACCCTTACAAATAATATCAGCAGAAGTGCCGATTGTTGATTCTCCCATAATAAGATTACTTATAGTAACTCCGTTTTCAACAATTATTGCATGGTCCCAATCGTTGTTCCATCCAGGAATATTTGGACGGCAAGTATTTGGCTTGCCATTAAAAATAATTCGTTGCATTCCAAAATCAGTGTCTTTTGTAATACGTAAAGTCGTCTTTGTTACATTTGTACTTGTAGGCGTGGGGAAATTACAAAATTTAGCCCCTTGTTGATTTAATGCTAGGGCCAATAAAGGCATAGATGAAATAATTGAAAAAAATATATTAAGCATTTTTTTTTTGATTTTTGAATTTATTTTTAATTTGTGTAACCATCTAGCTTTCTTTCAGTATATATAGGCATAATTGTAGTCAAAATTTAAAAGATTTCCACGTATAAACTAAATCCACGTGTAAAATTAATTAAATTAAAAATTAATTTCAGTCAATTTAGTCAATTTATTCACTTCCGGAAAGTCATATGAAAATTATCCCAAAATAATTTATCAAATTTTATAGACGTGGCCAACTTAGTGGCTTATTTAGTGGGTTCTAGTCTCTTTTTTGTAATACACAAAACCTTAAAAATTTTTAAAATCATTTCTTTCTAATTTTTAAGGCTTGAAAAAGATAAAAAAACGTGTACACAAATTTAACTTTTACATAAATTTTTATTTGGTTTATTTTAGTGTTCATAAACAACATATCAGAGCTTCGATCTCGTATTTTTAAAAATCCGCATTTATATCAAAAATCCGCAAAAAATAACTTTATCGTTATTTTTCTTGCCTTTTGGAGTAATATTCAAATTGATAGTTTAAATTTATTATTTGGCATTCTATTCAAAAAAATCATTAAAGGACAATTCATACTAGAATCTCTATTTCACTTCTGCACTATTACTCTTTTGATGCTTACCTTTTTTGTTAAAAAACATTTTTTAAGGAAATTTTAAAAGACATTTAATTGGGTAATACTTCAATCAATGTCTAAGCCCAATTCTTCTGAATTTTCTACATTAAATTTTGCAGCAAATATTTCAAACAATGAAAAACGCAGCAAAATTATTAAATAAATCATTTCTTTAAATTTTGACGAAATTTGAACTATAATTAAATTAATACATTTTGTTAGGATTCTAGAATTTTTTAAATTGTCTATTAAATCATCATATTAAATTAAAATGGTCGGTACGGAGTATATTTATTTAAAGAATAAATTGTTCATATATAAACTTGTGTTTTTTTATTATTAGTTATATTATTACGGTACACCTCAATTGAGTCCCGGCTCGATTGAATCCCGAACCCTATAACTTTTGAAGGGATGGTCACTTTTTTTGCTCTTGGTACCATTGGATAGAGCATTAAATAGGCTACAATATACCAAAAAATCAAAATTCCGGACCGACTGGTAAAAAAGTTATGATCGATAAAGTGCCGAAAAATCAGATTTTTTTGAAAAAGTTAGTTTTTAGATCATAACTTTTTTATCAGTTGGTCAAAAATTCTGATTTTTTGGTATATTGTAGTCCATCTAATGCTCTATCAAATGGTACCAAAAACATTAAAAATCATCAACCCGAACTTGAGTCATAGGGCCGGGACTCAATTGAGCCGGGACTCAGTTGAACTGCTCCGATATTATTATGACTTTTATTGCTTATGCTGTTTTATTTTATTAATTTTATTGTGCCACAGATTTGTACTCGAATTAATTAGCACGCCCTTTCGATGACATTTTTTTATGCTGATAAATAAAACATACTACAAGAACCACAATTAAGGCTACTAATAAATTGCCAAATTAAAAAATTCTAATGGAACTATATAAAATTATTTAAATTTATTAAAATAAAATTTTTAACTTCCTTGATAATTTCTTCATTTAATTTTCTCATATGAGTAAGGATAAATATTTTCATAATTTTGCACTTTTTAATAATTTTTTTTATATTTTCTCATAAAATATAGACATTTATTATATTTATTTATGTTATGTGGGAATATTAAGGATTTTTAATTGCTTAAAAATTAATACAATCCGGCAAAAATTAGAGAATAATTCAATATTACAGAAATTTTGTATTAATTTTTCCATCACCCTAGCCTTTAAATAATAAATACGGAAACATATATGTATATATTTTAATTTAAAATTTATTTATTTTATTTATTTATTGAGTAAATCACAAGGTAAAAAATTACACTTATTGTGATTAAAAAATATGTAAAAATTGTCTGTAAATTACAAATAAAAAATTTGGAGAGTTAATGAAAAAATTAAATTTGTCAATTAATAATAAAAAACAAATAAGGAAAAAAAAAGAACTTCTAATTATCTACATAAAACTATATTGTTAAGATTTAATGGAAATAAAATAACTAAATTTTATTTAAGTTATTTTATGTTTTTAAATTTTAAAAATATAGTTAGTTAATGTAGATATTTAGAAATTTATTGAGTTGAGATCCTAAACCCTTTTACAATTTTAGGAAGCAGAAATAAACCAGAAATTTAAGATTTTAAGATTTTCTTAAATATATTTTTAATTCCAAATGTCTAAGAAAACCATATCTCTATTTGAAGCATACATCTAATAAGAGCTATGAGATAAGCACATGTACATAGTCTTTTAGGGTACGGCCCACTTTGTCGCGCGGCCACATTGTCGCAGAGCCATAACTTCCTTCAAGTTTTCCGAATCTTACCAACTTTAGTATTAAACGATTCCTCTCATCGAGCTAAAGAGATTGGTACCAAAATTGATAAGGGCCAGAAATTTTTTAGCAAGTTATGGCTCGGCGACAATGTGGCCGCGCGACAAAGTGGGCGTGTCCCGTCTTTTAGATACCTAAGAAAATTAATTTGAAATTTTTTGATGGAAAAAAGATAAAAATGCTAATAAGACCCATTTATTTTTTATTTATTCTTTTTAATTTATTTATTCTAATTTGTATGGATAATGATAATAATAATGATATTGTTTTGAATGATAAATTGAATAATACACTTTATGCTACTAATGGTAAATTACATATTTAAATAAATTTGAAATTTTTTTATTTTTTCAGAAGGTTCGTATGAAATGACTCTTGATGATATTTATTTAAATAACTCAAAAAATCAAAAACGCAAATGAGGAAATTTTTTGAAATAAATTTGTAAAAAATTTTTTGTGAAATTGTGAATAAAATTGAATTTTATAACTATAAAATTTTTCTGACATGAGCTCTTATCTAAATAACAGATTCGGTATTCCACTGAATCAGTGGTCTGTGCCATAGAACTTTATGTAAAGGCAATGGAATCTATTGGGTTGTAACATAATTAATGATCGTTTTTTCTTAATTTACATAACAATACAAGTCTCTAGCACTACAAGTCTCTAGCACTGCCTCAACCTCCGAATTCCTCTCTCCTAAAAGTCAGGGCCGATTTTGGAAGGAATCCATTGACCTACCTCTTTTTCGAGTTGTTCATCATTTTTGAATTGTTAGTCTGATGAAAATGATCATTAATTTTGATACAACCCAATAACTATGCGATATTTAAAAATTCATTTCTAAATTTTTCTAAAATTTTTTACTTTAATATTCTGTTATAAATTTCCCGACGCCATCTCTAACATATGTTATCTTAAAATTCCCATAATTTTAACATTAATTTAAACAACTTCATTAATTTTCGAAATTATCTTTTTTTAATAAGCGGATTAAAAATAAGCGAGTTAACTTCACTTAAATATTTTTAATTCCTCTATCCAATGTTTCTATGACAACAAAAGCCATTAAAAATAAAGTCTGTTTTTTCGCTTTTAAATTTTATAAAAAATTGCTTCGTGGTTAACTAAAAATATTTACTATTTAATGCTTTAGTGCTCCCTAAGCGTTACATTTTTTGGCGAATTTTTCACGTGGAAAATTGGATAAATACAACTTTTAATGTGTTTGAATAGGTTTAGAAGGTGTCTTGTTTTTAAACAACTTCCGCCGCCTTTCTAAGTTCATTCGCCGAATAAACGGGGGAAAATTATTAAGAGGGGAAGAGAGTGAAGGAGGGTTGGACTTGTATATGTATATTTCTTAATTTAAAAATTTTTAACTTGATATTTTAAATTAAAATTAATGCCAAAATGTGTAAAAATTTAATTTTAAAATTTTAAATTATTTTTAAAATATCTACAAATTTTCTAAAAATTTCTGAAGAAATTTTTTTCACAAATGATTGATAGTGAGCATAATCTTAAAAAATTATTAGTTTCGAACTTAAGTTACTTATCAAGATGAAATGGTGAGATTATTATTGAAACATTAAAATTAGCAAATATCTGGAAACTCGCATTACCTGAAGGGAATTTGTGTTTCCGGAATATTAAAATAATTTTTTTAATCTAAAAAAATGAAAAATATAATACACATTATTTACATTGTACCCTTACTTTACCAAAATAAAAATTATTCAACAAATTTTTTTATGTTCACGTTTATATGGTTACACTTCCTCCTCATTATTTTAATTTTCTATTCGTCTATTATTTTTTAAAAATAATTAACCAACTATTTAATGAAGTAATTTGCCCCCTCTATTCCTCTACATAAATTACTAATTATTTTTAAAATTTTTTTTATAAAAAAATTTTTTTAGTTGTTAAAAACAGTTCCATTACACTATTTTAATTAGTTTTAAAATTATTTTTATTTATTTTTTTTTATTTCCATTAAAATAAACTTTAAAACGAAGAGAAGAAAGCATTTACCGTACATTGAAAAAAAGAAAGGGGAAGCTTTAAAAGAACCCATAATAATTTCAAAAGCTGACCAAATTATGCAACAAGCATTAGAGAATGTTCAACAACTTAGACAAGAAGCGAATATTCCTAGGAAAAAAGTGTGGGTATTTTTTTTTATTAAAATATTGTTCTCTGGGGCTGGATTGATGAGCCTGTATTTCAGGAGGACTCATTCCGATTTTCAAAATTGGATGACATAAATGCACATCAGGGGCCGTAAAATAAGAACTCGGTTGCTGGTTAGGTTGTGGTTAGTTGACCTGGTTATCTAACCAGCAACCGGCGGTTAAAATCAACCGGTAACATAAGAACGTGGTTGCTGGTTAGGTGACCTTACGATGGTGGTTAACGTGGTTTTCTTATTTTACCGGTTTACAATGACCTTGTGATTACCTAACGATTTTTACCTCATTTAAAACGCTTAGGCGGGGGTTAAACGATCTAAAACGATAACAGAGAAAGCATTAGTCGTCGCGCCGGTAGCTCAGTGGTAGAGCTCCTGTAACATGTCCTCTCCATACGTAACTGCATAAACAGCCTTTGTGGATT